CCAGCGGACCCTCGTCGTGGGACCGAATGCCGCGAGATCGACGGGGTCGCGCGTCTCGTATGACTTTTGGTCGCGAGGATAGTCGGTGCGAACGTTCTGCTGAACCGGAATGTCGATGCCGCGGCCGGCCCACGGAAGCTCGACGCGGTGCTTTACTGCCGATTGCGGCAGCAGGGTGACGTAGTACTCCCAGTACGGTTTGCCTTCTGACTGGCGCTGGTCGTTGTGCAAGGACGCGCCAGGGCAAGACTGAAGGAAGTTTTCCATGCACCATCGGTTGAGGCCGCTGCCGTTGTCTTAGTATAGAGGCGACGGATGACCTAGATCACGGCACTTACGGGACGTCTAGTGTGAACTTATCAACGAGTTCCCTCTTTTTCGTCTGCACAAAAATGCGCATGTCGACCGTGGCGATCTCCTGATTGCGCGGATTCTCCGGGCAGTACCCGTTTAGACTGAATTTAAGGCACGTGAGATCTTTGACGGCATCGCCAATCGAGTAGCGGATCTGTCGCTCCGTCCATTCGGCCTTCTCCTCGAGGTCCAAGCCGACGAGGTAGTAGTGAAACTCGGCCTGGTAGCCGCCCCATGCCGTGAGGCCGACCTTTGTCGTCGAAGGCGCGGCAAGACCCTTGACACCAGTGACCTGAACGCGGTCCTTGCCTACCTGCGTCATGACGACACCTTCGAGGTTGGCCGTGACATCAGAGCCGTAGTACAGCGGTCCCTGGATCTCGTATAACAGCTGCGACGACACGGTGCCGACCGAGACCTCGCCACCAGTGCCCTCCTCCTTGGTGATGATACATGAACCGTCCGAGTCAACTTCGGCAATGGGAAAGCCAAGGTTCTCGCAGCCATCCATCAACTGCTTGAAGCCAGAGTAGTAGCCGCCTGTGACGTATGCGGAGCATTCGATGAGATGTCCACACACGAGAGAACCGGCGATCTGGTCGAGATCGCGCTCACGGTCCCAACCGTGCCACCACATGGAGGCCCCGATCGTTGGGGCAGCGTCGGCCACGCGGCCAGCAATGACGATATCGCAGCCCTGACGGAGAGCCTCGGCGATGCCTGCGCCCCCGAGATAGCATCTACGTTGCCTGTTAGCGATGTTTGGTATGCCGCACACAAGGAGACTGACTGCGCGGCCACAAAATCGTCCATGTGGCCCCAGTCTTTGAGTGGTTCCCCCGTCATGAGGCTCGTGAAGGTCTCGCCGTCCTGCCACATCCGCCTCACCGTCTCCGTCACCTCATCGCCGTTGATCCACCCGACCTTGAGATCAAGCCCCTGCTTCCTCACCTCAGCCTCGACCACTCCCGCCAGCAGCTCGGTATCGCTCGCACCGGCATTCACGGCAACCTTGATGTTCTTGCTCCTCAGGAACGGCAGCGCAGGGCTCAGGTTCTCCATGAAGGTGGGGTCGAAGAGTCCCACAGGCTCTTGCGCCAACTTGCCGGCTTTTCGCAGCCGCTCGTTCTCCTGCTTTTGAGCGCCATGCAGCGTCATGGTACACTCGGAGAGCCAGTCACCAATGATGCAGTCAATATCACAGTTGCGAGCGAGGTCCCCAATGGCGCGCTGGCGGTCTGAGAAGCCGCCAGACGAGCCGGCTATGCGAATGGCGCGCTTGGTCGACGGCATTTTGCTTCTGGTGGCGGTTCTCTCGTGAACTTCGCAAGACGACCTGAATGGCCGTGTTCAATGGTGTCTTTAATGGTGTTTTCAAAGGAGAGTCTGCCACGAATTCGTGATGTTTCGAGACTGCTGGCGAGTTACTTCGAGGCCATCGGGGCTATCTTTTTGGGAACCATGGCTCATATACCTTCTACTCTTGAGATGGCGGTAGCCGGAATCCCTTAACCCCGGAGCCCCATGCGCCGACACACGCCATGACATTCTCAACAGCAGCGGCAGATCCGAGCTGCCAACCATTGAGTCGTGGACATTGTGACAGGAAGCTGTTAAACCCGGTGCGGAGAAGGGGGACGATAGATGTTCCAATGGCTGCTTGCCCCGCTTCGCAACAACAGCTCGAGTGGAAAACCATATCCAACCATATGGCGAGCTGCGAAGTGCACAACCTGCACCATGGGCTGGAAGATGCTGCCTTGTGGAACAAAGACGGGGCTGGGCGGTCTGAGAAAACAAAAATCCGATTTATTCGAGTGTGGCAAGCTGGAGTAAATCCATTTTAATCGTGCATGTTTTCATGATGGGTGCTCTTCGCAAAACGAAGTGCGGATATCCACAGCCGACTCGAGTCAGGAGTCCAATAGCCACAACATCATGCGAAAACACAACGCTGCCAGATAACTGCTCTTGAGAGTTGGCAATCGGGATCGTATTGGTGACTGGTCAGGATGTCACTCCCGAAAAGGGCCGTCTTACCGTATAACTCAGGTACAGATGTTAGTGACGTTCCCGTCGTTGCTTGGTACAGCTCATCAACCGACTTTCCGCTTTTCGACTGAGAGCGTCAGGCATTCTCCGTATAAGGCGCTGCGCTCGTTGCTTTTTGTATTGCACGGCGGAAGACTGATGGCCTGTCGTCCATGGTGCAAACCAAGCATCACGACGGCGGCGGCGACTCGCGCCAGCTGACAGCTCCGGCGGGAATAGGCACAACGGCTTCGCGGGTCCAAATGTGCGAGGCGCCCTCGAGACTGAGGCCCTCGATCAGGCCGCCCTTGATGTTCGCCGTTGGCCGCGCCACCCCCTGCGCACTGCGGCCGTGATGCACGATGCGCGCACCGCACGTCTTGCAGAAATAGCAGTCGAGCGTGTTGCCTGTCTTGGTGGCGCGCGACCACACGCCGAGGCGTGCGCGAAGGGCAGGGTCAGACAGCGGCGGCGGGTCGGCGGCGGGAAAGGTGGCGGATATGCCAAAGGCGGAGGAGGACTGCCTGCGGCATTCGTTGCAGTGGCAGAGGTATACAGCGACCGGGGCGGGGGTTGGGGTGCGGAAGGCGATGGAGCCGCACTGGCAGGCGACGTTCATGGTGATGGTATAGACCTGGGTGTCGTGATGGGTGGTAGGTTTGCCGACTTGCCTGGTCGGTGATTGGTGACGCCGGTTACAGTGTTTCTGGGTGAGTCGAGGTGAATGTGATCAAGCATGCATTCATTGTTGGATCATCAGGATGAGAGTATTGGACAGTGTCACGCAGGGGGGCGTGGACTGACAGGCCGGGCCGGTGCAGGGCAAGTGAAGCCCGGCGGCGTAGTTACAATACCTAAGGTACCTAGGCAGCTGCGGTGTCTAGGCAGTTGCAGTACCTAGGTAGGCAGGTACAGTACCGACCGAGGCAGTCACAGTGCCTACCTACCCAGGCAAGCCAGGTAGGTTGGTACCTGCCTACCCACCCAGGCAGCAGGGCCTAGACTTGGGCCAGGGACGCCCCGCCCCTGGTCGTTACCCCCCCAATCCGCACGCTGATCGATGTAACATGCCCATCCTGACACGTGACTCCGCAGATGATATTCTGGGCCAGGCGTTGATACGCCTAGGTCGATCGATGACTTCACCTCTCGAACAAAGCTGCTGCAGGGCACCTACGTCGGGATCCCACATCATCTGACAGTCAATGCAAGATCGTGTCGATGCCCCTCGTCGAGATGACAGTTGTGAACACCAGCAAAGTGCCGACAGCTTCCCCGCGCGGATCCGGCACCGGCTCTTCGTCTCGCGCCTAAATTGCCCTGCATTGCCATTTACCCCAGATTGAGCCTCCCGGATGCTTGTCCCAACCCAGCATCGATCCGGCCGTGGCGCCCAAGATGCTACATCGGGTCACCAGTCACGAGTCGAGGGGTCCGATCGTCCGGCACATATGAGTTCTGCCCGCCCAGTACAGGCATATAGAGGCTCTGCTTGCCCAGCCCAGCGAACAGACTGAGCACGACCGTGGGACACAGACGACATCGACACCTCATGCACTCATCCGCCACGATGCTGCTCTCTCTCGCTCTCGTCTTCGCCCCTCTGGCGGCTGCCCTCCCGGTCGAGAGTCCTCTCGAGATTCTCCGCCGAGAGCCGTCTGCCGGCGTTGTCATTCGCCAGTGCTCCCGGCCTGGCGTCCTCGCCCTCGCCTACGACGACGGTCCTTACCAGTACACCTCCGAGCTCGTTGACATACTTGACGCTGCCGGCGCCAAGGCCACCTTCTTCTGGACCGGCACCCTCTACGGCTGCATCTACGACCATGCTCCGGCCGTGAAGAAGGCATTTGCGTCCGGCCACCAGGTCGCCTCACACACGTGGACCCATCCCAACACCTTTGGCTCCATGACCCCCGAGCAGCTGACGGGCGAGATGGACCGCCTCGACGACGCTCTCGTCAACATCCTCGGCGTCAAGCCCCAGTACATGCGGCCGCCGTACCTCATGACCGGCGGAAACGTCCTGCCGACCCTCAAGGAACTCGACTTCAAGGTCATCACGACCGACGTCGACTCGGGCGATTGGGACAGCAAGACGCCCGAGGAGAGTCTGCTGCGATTCACGCGCGCCGGTAGCTGTGGAAAGGGTCACATCTCGCTGATGCACGAGACATACGCGAGTACCGTGAGGACCCTGACGCCCTACCTCATCGACTGGGCCAAATCGCGCAACCTCAAGCTTGTGACCGTTGGTGAGTTCGAGCCCCTTTCCCTTCTCGCAATCCTTGGCACTGACAGCATGTAGCCGACTGCCTCGGCGATGCCGACGGTGCCTATCGGGCCGGAAACTTCACCGGCAGCGGGCAGACGTCATGCTAGTTGCGAAAGGCCCAGTGTCAAGTTCCCGCGCTGTGCGGCAGGCTGATGAAGCCCAGCACAGTTGGCGTCTGCTTCGTGATCCAAGGTTGGTGCTTAAAAGAGTAATATAGCGGCGAAGCTTTGCAATCTAGATTTAGACTGATGCGCGATCTGGGCCGTGTGAATAATTGTTCTGGGAGGTTCTTCTGCCGGGCTTCGTGCAATGGCTTGCTCTCGTTGGGTGATGAAGGTCTATTTGACACTCCCCAGTAGCAGCAGGACTAGTCGAATCCCCTTGTGGCCAATGGCTTGGCCTAAGGTCTAGGAACAATATCTAGATCTGGCAACTACATAGGGTGCATGGGCGACTTGGTCGAATGTCGTAATCATCGACTATTGAATTTCCAGAGCAGAGTTACGGATTCAAAGTGATGGCCGGGGAGGACCCTAGCATCGACTGTGAGGACAAGGGGGGAAACAAGGGTTCAGATCCAAGGTCAATCGGACGAGTCGATGTCTCTCCCTTCGCGCCCCTGAGCGAGGCTGACCTTGAAAATATTCTTTCTTCTTGGCTTGTCAATATTCGCGCTGCATGGTTCATTGCCACCGCCACAACTGTTTCATTTCGTGATACGTGGTGCATTCAGCGAGAACTGCTACCCAACACCGTCGCCGAGCATTGCTCCTCGGGGGTCTGAAGACTATTCAAATTTTATAAATTTCATGTCCATCAGGTCATGAACTACCAGCCTACATCTCAGAGCATCCCGGGAGATGATAGATCAATCTCAGGACACCATTTTCGTGCTTCGGGGACTCGTGTCCTGTCCTCCTTGTACACTCGATGGTAGCCGACGGGCCGTCCAGGGCGATCCATGTGCCACGGGAGCTGTCGGGCGAACGCAAGCGCCGTCTCGATGGAAGGCAAGTTCGCATCCTTTTCGCGCATCATGACGCTCATCCAGTAATCCTCGCCGTGGCCTCCGTACTCTGTGCCTTTCGTATTCCAATCTTTCCACCAGTCGTTTCCCCCATGCAGGACTTCGAGGAGCATGGTGCGGTTTCGGAGCGACAGGCCGCCGTTGTAGACCTTCCGGGTGTCGTTAAGGGGCGCGCCGATAAAGTCGTACTGGAGGAAGTCATCGACAGTCTGGGCCGCATTGGCGCACAGAATGGCATCCGCCTGGAAGACGAGGACGTGCTTTGCAGGCGCGAGCTGCTCCCACAGCCAGGGATGGGAGAAGTAGAGATTGACACCTTTCCGCGTGGTCAGGTTGAACTCGGGCGACACGATTCGTGTTTCAATGCTGCCCGCGTCGACGGCGCGGCGCCATGTTGCTGAGGTGGATGGGGATGAAGCATTGGGCGAGAGATGCTCATCGTACGTCGTCTGGGAGGTGAAGAAGACGATGGGCCAGGAGGGTCCGAGAACGGCGTGGTAGTACAGAATGAGAGGGATCAGATGCGGTGTGAAGAGTGTGTCGGTTATCGTTGCGACCTTGTCTTTGATGAGGATGCTGTTGAATGTCGGAACAGTCTCGTGAGATTTCCACCTGGATTGGATGGTCTCAACCAGCGCCTCTCGATATGCCAGGCCCGCGAAAATGGTAGCGATCAAGGAAACCACAGCCACGAGGGCATGGCGTGGCGGAGGCACCCGCATCGTTGACGCTCCTGTCCGAGCTTTGGACTCTCGTGTGTGATGACGGCAAAGAGCCAGAGTGAACACATTTGACCGATTTATCAAAAAGCAGAATTTCAGAATTTGCAGAGCTGTTCTATGCCCACCTCAGGGGCACAAGCAGTCGGAATCGGTACCAGCGTGAGGCCCTGTGCCAATGGCCCGGAATGTAGAGTGTTTATCGATGGACAAGCGATGCCCCTGTAAGTCCAAACCATATATTGCTTGTTCGTCGTACTTTTATGTGAAGCTGAGATGTAGCGCCCAAGTACCCTGTCAGGAACCGTTCCGGTTATGGGGCTGGCCTGCATCATGTCATGTAAGGGATGTGTAATGGCATTCGTCTCTCGTCAGTAAATTTACAAGTCATCGAAATGGCCGGTTTGAGGTACGATCGCATAGTGAGATGATGTACTGGTTCAGTTTCGACAAGTCGGCTATACCTCAAGCTATCCGTGAGATGACATTTATTCTTGTGTGCAGATAGATTCCAGAACTTTGCTTATTTACCTGTCTAATTCGCCCAGTCTAGAGGTGACCCATGTTTCCCGTCGGATGCGATAAGCTAGGTGCGACTCCCGAGATCTTTCCATTCCTTTTTCTAGGTACCCAGTGGCCAGGCCCAGCCAGGAATTCAAGGGGTTGAGCCCTGCGTGTTTCTCGATCAAGTCCGAGCTTCATCATCATTGTAGGCCTTGCAATCCCTAGAATAAGGAGATCCTGTTCTCAGGCGACTTTGTTGTGTTCTCAAATCAATTGAATTCGCCGCCCGGGTTGGCCACATGGTGAGAGCCGCACCACAGCATCACAATGACAAGGCTTGACAAGATAACACAGCGGCTCGACGTCTGGCTCGATCCTTCCCCCAAGGGTTTCACTTTCGACCTCATGGCAAGGAAACGTTATGTGGTTTTGATCATTCCGCTAGTGTTCGTTATCGTGTCGCTCGTCGTGGGCTTCTCTCGTCTCCAGCTTATTGTGAGTGCCATCCGCCATCGCACAATGAAACCCAAGCCAGGCTGCTGATAGCTTGGTCGATGTAGGAACTTTCACATCCTGTGTCAAAGGAAGTGCATCAGAGGCCACCAAAAACGTCCAAGCTGCACTATCTTGTCCCCTCGAGCTTCGTCAATGATCCCGTTTGCGCGGGTATCATTTCTGCTCTCGTCAACCGTTACCCCATCCCAACTCTTATCGGGTACAAAGGCGAGAATGAATTCGACGCTGTCGACCACCTGGCCAAGGTTCGTGTCATCAACAGGTTCTTGAAAACTCTGCCTGCGGAGGATGACGACCTGGTCATCATCGTCGACAGTTTTGACGTCTTGGCCCAGCTCCCCGTCGAGGTCACGCTTGAGCGCTACTTTGCGATGTCGGCTCGTTCAGAACAACAACTGGCCGACCAACGAGGGATCACCGTCGACGAGCTACACGATCTCGGCATTCGTCAGTCCATCCTTTACGGCACGGGAAAGATATGTTTCGATGCAAACCCGAACGAGCCCTTGTGCCCCTTTGTGCCTGGTTCAAACTCTGCTCGACAAAAGTTCGGCGTCATGACTGGAGGATTCAGTGACCCACGCTACCGAGACTCACGGTATCTGAACTCTGGTACCATCATGGCACCTGTAGGCGATCTGCGCAAGTTCATGCATGCCGTGCAGGAGCTGGTCGAAGCTGACGACGTCATCGTTCCCCTCAATGTGACCAGTAATGGACGCTTCAGGCATCACATGGACCAGTGGTTTACCGCCACTCTTTACGTTCGCCAGGAGTACCACAGAGCTCTCGACATGAACGATGGAAAATACCCTGGTAACTTGACCGGTGTCTCTGACCTCCCGAAGCCGAGAGAGAGCGCAAACGATACGACTGAGTACCACATCTTTGTTGATTTCGACTCCTCCTTTACCCAGACGCAGTGTCACAACGAGCTCGAGATTCATCAGCTGACGTACAGCAACCACGACCTCACGTCGTCCGTTGCTAAAGACTTCATGAACGAGGGCAAGGCATTCAAACCGCATGCTATACAAATGCCAGCAAGTATTTACAAAGCCTTTGGTCGCGTCTGGGACAAGCTGTCACATGTTCCAAACATCACGCTCGTTCAGCCACCACGAGTCTGGATTCAAAGCTTAGGATTAGCGACAAACGTGGCCTCCGAGAGCATCCATGCCTTCTATCACAACACCTGCTCCAAAACGAAGTTTCTGGAGACATATAAAACCTTTTGGTTCTTTCCGCTAGTTGTGCCGCTTCTCGAACTAGCTAAGATGGATCGAGACGACATGCGACCACTCCATTCAGGCCTGATTGATGGTCGAATGTGGATAGCCGCTCGAGATTACCCACAATCTCCCTCTGAATCTGGACAGGATGTCGAGGAAACATATCTGGGGGGCGTCTTCACGGATCTTGCTGCAGAGCCGTTTCTGAATCTGCCAACACTATGTCGTGAAAATTGGACAGACTTGATCGGCATCAAAGCTCATGGAGGGTCGAGATGATGCTCGTCAGTCCTTTTCATCCCGCAATTTCAAAGTAATGAACATGATCATTTTTGCTCTCGCGCTTCTCTACCTCTGAATCTGACTGAAAGCAGCAGAACGCCTTCTTTTGATCACAGCATAAACAAAAACCAACCCAAACCTCAGGGAATATGATTCGGGACCCTATTTCTCTTCGCCCATGACAGGCGAATGGAATGACTCACTGTGTAGGGCTGATAGGCAGTTCCAAGACGGATTTTGTTGAACCAAACCTGTAAACGAAGAAGACAGCCCTGTTTAATGAATTCGAGAATATGTGTTGCAAGAGCAAGGCCCAGCCAAACTCCAATGACCAAACGGCCGCAGTGCCTATCCGGCGTTTGTCTCCGAGCATCCGAATACCAATGCGAAGGAGCAATCTTTCCTTAGGGCAACCCTTCCTTGCTACGCCGCAGGCGAGCGCCGGCCTGCAGGGTTGCATCCCGCCCCCGTTCGCTTTCTCAATTAGGCTGTAATCTTGGCAGTCAGCGCTGTAATGGGGGCCAGACCCTTGCCTAATCGAGTGCAGGCTGATCAACACACTTGTCTGCCAGGCCCTATTATGGGCCATACCAACTGAGGAAGGTTGCCGCTTTGAGATGCAACCACAGGACAACAGGGGGCTATGTTGTTGGTGTGCTCAATATTGGCTCCAAAAACACCTCAAGAAAGGGGCGTCTGCCAGCGGGTCCAATGTGTGACAGTTTGCAATAAGTGTGGACTGTTCCTGAGCCAGCGCCGGGTACCCAACGAACCTTGGCCAGCCTGCATACAGCGTCAGCATCCTATTTCTGGCAAGCGGAGGCGCCGTGATGGATGTAATAGACGAGTTCCTACCGCCGGTCAGCACTACAGTTCTTGTGGTGTGATTGGTGGATACACATCCTGCATGACGATGCTGACGAGTTGGGGCTCATGTCCGAAGTGCACAATCAAGAAAATTCTTAGACGTATGAGAGCAGGCAATTGCTTCACCTGATGGACCCCACGCTCCTTGCTTTAGCTTCTATTCTATCATGGCCTTGGTGGTGTGACGGCCTCATGGGCGACTGGATAAACCCAAGACATTTTACCATCATCCCCCCTACCAGCTAACAGCGTGAAGGGTGGCAGACATCGAATGCTCCCTGCTTGAAGCGTGTGATGATTTGTATGGGCCGGATCGAGTCTCCCGAGGACATCGTGGGGATGATCTGGGATTTGATCCTTCTCGGCAGACTGAGCTTAGACTGCCGCGAATATGGTGGTCAGCAAGATCGATAAGAATGGTAGCGACCCTGTACTGTGGATGACCCTTGGGATGTCATCTTACTCTGCTGTGTTCTGCTGGGTGCAAAGAACTTTTTTTTTTTTTTTACCAAGTATTCTGTCGGACTCGACCGTAGCCCGGCATGTCAGATATCCTCGAGGATTACCCGGAGTACGCCAAAACCTCCTCTCTCGATGCTCTCCGAGAGATACATTACGCCCACCTCGATCGACAAGGCCACACCTACCTCGACTACACAGGAGCCGGACTTTCCTCTGTGGAGCAGCACCGAGTCCACGCAACTCGTCTGGCTAGCACGTCCTTTGGAAATCCTCATTCGGAAAGTCCAACGAGCAAGGCTTCCACAGCCTTGGTTGAAAATACTCGTGCCCGTATCCTCGCTCACCTTCGCGCCGACCCTGCCGATTATGTTGTTATATTCACACCAAATGCCACAGGGGCCGCTCGTCTCGTGGCCGAGGCGTACCCTTTCCGCCGACGGAGCCGCCTCGTTCTGACCTGCGATAATCATAACTCGGTCAACGGCATACGAGAGTACGCCCACCGCCGCGGGGCCAAGACTGTCTACATTTCTTGTCAGACGCCTTCCCTTCGAGTCGACACATCTTGTGTCGAGAGAGGCCTCCGGCCGCGATGGAAGGTCCCAGGAGAAAGAAAAAAGAGGGGTCTCTTTGCATATCCCGCGCAGAGCAACTTCAGTGGCGTCCAGCACCCATTAGCCTGGGTGCAGCTGGCGCAGCAGAACGGCTATGACGTCTTGCTCGATGCAGCAGCGTATCTCCCTACGAAGATACTCGACTTGTCGGTTACCAAGCCAGAGTTCGTCATGGTGAGCTGGTACAAGGTATTTGGCTACCCAACTGGTGTTGGCTGTCTGGTCGTCAAGAAAGACGCCATGGCCCGGTTAGAGCGGCCCTGGTTCTCGGGCGGCACGGTGGCTGCGGCGTTCGTGGGGAACGGGGCGGAGTGGCATGTTCAGCAGGTTGGCGAGGCTGGATATGAAGATGGTACAGTGAATTTTCTGTCGATTCCAGACGTGGCTTTCGGCCTGAACTGGGTCACAGGCATCGGCATGGATCTCATACAGCTGCGCGTTCGGTGCCTGACAGGCTGGTTCCTGGACCGTCTGTTGGCGATGAGGCACAGTGATGGGTTGTCCATGGTGCGGTTGTATGGGCCCGACGTTCTGGAAGCAAGGGGTGGTACCATATGCTTCAACTTTGTCGACGCTGCCGGTAGCGTGGTCGACGACCGTCTCGTCGGTCTAGAAGCTGCTGTCGAGGGCATCTCGCTTCGTACGGGCTGCTTCTGCAACCCGGGGGCGGGTGCGGCAGCCTTTGGGGTAGATGGGGCGGCTCTACGACGGATCAAGAGACTTCGGCCAGGGCTTCGGCCGAAGTCTACAGATGATATGACGCGCATGCTCGGTTTGCGGACTTCAAGTGCGGTGCGGGTGTCTTTTGGGCTGGCTTCGACAACACTCGATGTCGAGAAGTTTATGAGCTTTGCGGAGACGAGCTATCGGGATCGAGTCGTCACGGAAAGCCATATACCAAGGGACGGTTGTTAATCCCATGACAGCTTGATGATGATGCCACTTCCGCGTTTGGCCAGTTCAGAGGGGAATATGTGTACATCTAATATAATTCTGATCTTGTCGTCTCAGTCTTGGAACTCTGTCTACTGCAAATTGCCACCATCATCTGTTTCTTTTGTCTATCGCTGAAACGGCGTATTGTCCTCCCCGCCACACTCCTCAAACTCAGATGGCTCATGCTGCTGCCATGCCATTGACGTTGGTGAGATCCTTCCTCAAGATAATAAAGTAGAGGTCGTCGCGAAGCGCCTGGCCCTCAAACACATGCTCGTAGGGGAAGTCCCCCCTCTCATCGGTGCGCTCATAGCCCCTCCTGACATACCAGTCGATGAGTTCATCCCTCATCCACAAGACATACATTTCCATCTTTTCGACAGCCCACTTCTCCTTCGCATGCGCCTCGGCTCTCGCAAGAACCTGCCTCCCCAACCCACCGCCCTGTTTGTTGGGATCGACGGCGAACAGCCCAAAGTAACCGGTGCTGGGCTTGCCGTCGCCGGCGGGGCGGTGCTGGAGCTCACAGCAGGCGACGAGCTCACCCGTCGCGGCGTCGTGGGTGATGAGGACCAGGCCGTCAGGGGCATTGATCTTGGATTCAAGGTCTGCGGGGGAGATGCGTTTGTCATTGAGGTAGGCAGATTCGTTGGTCCATCCTTGGTTGCCACGGTATGCTGTGCGGATGAGAGGCAGAAGATCGGGAACGTCGGTGGTAGTAGCCTCGCGGAATGCGAGGGTTGGCTGGGCCATTTTGTGTTGATGCGAGGTGGCCTTGCTGACGAGAGGAGGTGATATGAGATCTGAATTGGTTGGTGTTGTCCTCGGATTGCGCGACCGTCTCGAATCGTGGCGCACTTTGCGGGGTTTCTTGCCAGCTGCTGATAGAGATCCCTATTCTCATTCGAATGAAGAGCTCTTTCCTTGTTGCGTGAGCCTAATTGCTGTCAACACTGTGGTCGCACGAGTTCTTCGACTGACGACACGGGCTGTTGAGGTGGCCATGTACACTACGCCAACATGGCGACGTTCCAGGGGTCTTATACTCGCAACTCCGACGTCGGTAAGCAAAGTCACCGACGCCTGAAATGTTGCGTCGGGCGACCCCGCAAGATCAACCCCGCTGCTTTCAGGCCGTTCCGTGCTGGGAGCAAACGAAAGTTCCAGGCTGGACCAGGGGCACGTTGACGAGTCAAGACTCGCCATCGCAGTAAGCTAGTGTGCCTACGACAGCGGTACCGCCCTGCGAGGACATGTCTATGGCGCCCTTGGATCTGGAACGGGCCATCGCATCAATTCCCGATCGCGTGGTCCCGAGGCAAGGGCGCAGATAACATCAACCACGGTCCGCACGACATGTGCTGACCGATGGCCAACATATTTCACTGCATTCTTTAACCCACGGTCATAGCACAGCTACTTAAGCTGACCGAACTGGGGAACAATCCCTTATACGGGTGGCTGTACGGGTTCCATATCGACCACTGGGCTGGTTTCACTCATTTCTTTCGGGGTGCAAATTGCGACCGCGACAACCATGACTACAACCTGCCGATGAAAGTGTCGTGATATTCACCAAGCATCGTTCTTTGGTTATTGAAGCAAAAGCTCTCCTTTCCAGTTCGCATTTTGAACCTGTGTACGTGACCAGCTAGAACCCCCTCATCCACAGGGCACCAAAGGGAAGTGCAGCAGTTTAGCGCTAGAATCATGATGTTTATTTCCGAGAGGCCAGATCATCAAATGGGGTCGTGGTTTAGGGGTATAATGTCCGCTTCGCATTGTCACATCAATCCTTGCGGAAGGTCCCGCGTTCGATTCGCGGCGATTCCATTCCTTTTGCTCTCAGCACGATCTAGCTCCTTGCTCTTCGGGTGAACACTGTCTTTCCTTTTTTTGTATGGAATCTCGTTTGGAAGAGTATCTTGGCTATTCTATCCTGCTTCCGATTCCACTTGGACGATCATGTTGACCCTGATGAAGAAATAGGCTTCTACTTCTTGTTCATCGCCGTTCGTTTCCAACTGCCGTCTGGCAGGGTGAAAATCGAAAGATATTTCTCCCAGGTGATGGAATCCACCTTGAACCAACGCTTGTAGTCGCACCAGTGACAGAGCTTTTGGGTCTGCCGGCGCCCTTTCGGGGTTGCCCTCCGTACGAACTGATCCGTGGTCTGCAAACTTTTGCAATCCGGGCACCGGCTCATATCGGCAGGACAACCTGCCTTGGGATCAACAGGCAGTTGACGGTTGGCCCGAGACAGCGCCGCCCACCTGTTCGTGCCAGCAGGGAGCGATGACAGTAGGGGAACGCCGGATATCGGAAGAAAGTCGGGTGCCGGACGGGGACTGACCGCCAGAAGCCCCTTGGGGGGCGGCGACCCGGTGGAGCATTCTCCAGACGATGAAGAGTGCGTTTTGCTGTCAGTAGTTGAGTTAGACATTACCATCTTGTTTATTTCTGGAATATCGAAATTATGAGTTTTGGAAATGCTGTTGCTTTGCATGATGCTGCAGGAAAGAAAACAGAAGACCGAACTAGGGGGAGGAGAGATTCTTTTATACCTTTTCTGCAAGAGGGACCAGCCTAGAACTACCATCAGTGTTTCATTTCACTGCCGTGAGAACGCCCTTTCCTGTGTAACGCAGTCTCTGAATCAGCCCATCAACCTTTCACGCAAGACCGCTACGCCTGTAAATCCTCTGCTCCCAGCCCAACCACCAAGTAATGAACGCAAACATTAACCATGCCGGTGAATAAAATGCCTCTTCGCAGACGAAGAGATTGTAATGGAGCTTTGATTCGATTCTTGCTTTGAAGTCTTGCCGCATCACGTCCCCCTGACGTGGCTGTCCAGCCTAGAAGATGAGCTGTCAACTCGCGACAACAATGGCGTTTTGCATTTGCCCGCCGATGATGAATGTGCGTCTCTTGACTGGTAAAAAATGGTACATAGCTGTTTCACTCATGGAGAGTATCTTGTTTTGCGAAACGGCGATGAAAAACGTTACGCTAGATGTGGTTCACGACTTTTCTTTTTAGCTTCAGATACTGGCGAAGACAGCACAAACAAACGTTTGCGCCACGTTGAATGGACTTGTGTGATTCCCTGACAGCTTTTGACGCTTTCCGCCTGCCTCGTAAAAGGGACCACAATGCCTGAATTCAATCAGATTGGGATGACGACCTGCGCACCCCGTCGTGCATCGCCAACCACAGCACTCAGATGCTCGGTGAACATTGCCCAGAAATCTGGACATGGGTCTCGGTGAAGCAGGGATCTCATTCTTTTCTGAACTCCGACTAGTCGGCATTAGTCGGCTTTCCGAAGGGCCCAGTTTACATAACGCGCAACTGGTACTTTCTCCATTCTAAAATGCCTCGACAAGGGCCTTGTATCAACTTAACCACCTCCAGATTATCCCTGTGGGTACGACGCACGCCAGGTACCATACACCTGTCTTCGATATGGCTCAAGGTACTATATCGGGTCTCCCCTGTGCCGAGAGTTGGACCCTAAGCAGCGAATCTGGCGATGAGTACTTGATACAAATTGGCTATCCTCGCAACTGGACGGCTGAATCAGCAAACTCCAATGACCACACGGTTCCGGTGATGTGAGTCAATATTCTTCCGTTTGGAATTCTCTTTCTTACGGCCACAGTTATCTTACCGATGGAAACTCTGTCTTTTTCACAGCACTTGAAGCCCTCCACCGCTGGCTCTCCCTCCGCCCCCCCGGCGCGCCATCCAGTGGCGTTGTCGTGGCCATAGGCTACCCCCTTCATGATGACAGCCCGAGCTTGTTCAATGGCCGCCGGTCGAAGGACCTGACGCCTCCATTGCCTGGCGCTGGAGAGACAGAAGGCGGCGCCGACCAGTTCCTGGATTTCATCGAGCAGCGTGTCCGTCCATTCGTCAGCCAGAGAGTCAAAGAGAAGCAAGGCGCCTCCGTGGGCAGGGAAGCTATATGCGGACATTCATACGGCGGACTGTTTACTCTTCATGCCCTGTTCACGCGGCCGACAACTTTTGACTACTTTCTTGTCAACAGCCCCAGCATTTGGTGGAATAAAAGAGCGATATTGAAGCATGAACCAGAATGCTACGAGAAAATAGGGGAAAAGGAGACTTCGGTTATGCTTTTCGTCGGCGGCGATGAACAGGAACCACCGAGGCGGAAGGGCGAAAGTGATGAAGGCTTTGAGCAGCGCCGTGCGACCCACATCGAAAGGCGGATGGTCGACAACTTGAGGGATCTGTATGAGAGACTTAGAAAGTCTGGTAAGCTGGCACACATCTCACTATCAGTTTATGAAGGCGAAGATCATTGTACGGTGATTCCTTGCGGGGTCAGCAAGGGGGTTTGGACATTCCTTGACGACTGGCCATGTATAGACTAAGCCAGAGGCAAGCCATCTGTCAATGTTTTTCCGTGGTCTTTCATGGTAGCACCTAGCTCTTTTCTGCAGACCTTGAATATTTACTTCTTCTCGTCAACTGACTTGTGTTGTCCGTCTGCTCTCCTGTTTCGTTCAAGCTCTCAATGAACTGACCACCTTGAGAGCCACCATGAGAGCCAGCGATTCTCCCTTGGATTACCGTAGAATGCCGAGCACTTGATAGCGTTCTGGCAGGCAGCTTGTCAATCTTCCTCACCTTGCCCGCAAATGTAGGCTCGCTGTACACGGGCAGCTTTGAATCCCAAGATCACATCGGAATTTTTTCAGCTCACATGGGCCCAAGCTGTAGCTCATATATTTGAATCATCACCAAGAGTAGTCCGAGCAAAAGTATGTACAATGTACGAAGTGGCTCCTGTCCATAGTTGAGCCATTGAACGCGATGCTGCACCTCCCTGTTCCTGCATCTTCACGTCATGTCTGAATCTAACAGCCCTCTGTATCGCGGAAACCTTCACTTCGCTTGAACTTAAACTCCTAGCATGCTCGCACATCCTTGGCATGGCGGCGAGCCTTCTTGGCCGTGTTGTATAGAGGCGGTCCAGGGATGGGGTACTCAGTCGCAGTGTAGATGTTGAAGAGCACACCAGGATCCGTCTCCGTGTAGAGGCTCGTACCCGCGACGCCACTGGGACTTGCCGAGCCGCCACCGGAAATCTCAAGATTGATGCACTGCGGGTAGAACTGGGCACCGTTCGGCTGTCCTCCTGAGTGCAGGGCGATGATTTCATGACGGAGAACGTAGCTGCCGGCGGCGATGTCGGTCGGGATCGTGACCTCCCAGACCTCACCGGCAGCGATGAGTTCGTCAGCAGCCCAGTTTGAGTTGGCGGCGTCCAGGAGACCTTGCTCGGCAATCTTGAAGAAGCGGAGCGCTGTCTTGTCAACGGTCGTGCAGTCACCGTTGCAGTTGGCAAGGTAGTCTATGATGGGTCCCTTGTGCGACTCAGGCCAGGGAGACCATTTCAGGGTCAGGGTATCCCCAGCTGCTAGAGGAATGTGCGAGCCTCCGTTGGTAGCAGATCGGTGGCAGATGATGTCTGGATCTCCGGTGGCCGCAGGCTCAACGAAGCCAAGATCAGGGAAGTCCGCGGTCCATCCGGGAACGATTGGAGGCGAGGGGTTGTAGGGGAAAGTAGACGGGTTGTAGTTATCGTATGTCTTGCCATTGACGGTGATCGTTTCAACAAAGCCGTGCGCCGCGGCGGACACAGCACCAAACACAACAGCGAACAAAGCCTTCTGAGCCATATTTGCGACTTGGACTTATTTTGATAATAATGGAGGTTTTTTAAAACGTAGAGGAATCAGGCGCAAAATGAAGAGAGTGAGGAAGTGTGAAACGCGAGCGGCTTGTTGAGAAATGTACCGAGCTGGAAGCAAGCCATCAACCTCCATCTTATACTTTTCAATCGTCTGCGCGTGAGACGCGTTCGCCGCTTTTGATTTTCACCTAGCCATTTTTATTTTCTTTTTGGTGTGATTAGCTTGTCCCCGATCATGTCTGCGATGCGATGGCTATACGTGGTGACTACCAAGACTGATCGGCACGACAAATCGGAGCGTCACCATCCGCCAAACACCACTGCGCCCAACCCAGTCCCTCTTCCCCGTAAATATCTCAAGACGCACAACACGGTAATCTACCTCGGACGAGCAGGATCGGCGTCGCGCCGGCCTCGGTCCAATAATATGCACCGTCAGGCGGCTGACACGCACCGGGAACCGCATGACAGCTCACCCTGTGGCCGAAAGACAACCCGGGCTTCTTGCACTTCATGCCGTTGAATGCCGATCTTGCATCTCTTTGCTTCGGAGCTTTCTTGCGGTTCCGGTGGTCGGTCCGTCACACGAGCCAACCTCCTGAGGGCGTAACCGCTGACCCAAAAAGCGGTCATGGGGTCCGAGGGCCGCCAAGCAAGGCCTCCGATAAACGACTTGATCGAAAGTTGCGTCGAATGCGGCACAGAGCGCGGTGCAATAGTGCCACGCGTTTCTGTCGATTACAAATACCATGGTGGTTCGCGACAGGTCTGATAATCTATACCAAACAGTTAGGTCCGAGATGAGTGTTGGCAGGTCGATATGCGTCTCGCTCCCACTTCCCGCGGTGCGGCACTTCCGCCAGGCCGGATCAAAAATTCTAGCAGTGCTCACATGGGAGACCAACGACGAGAAGACTACCCCAACTTTTTCGATTCTCTCTCTGAAAGTTTAGCAAGATTGTAGCAAGATTGTGTAAATGACAGCCGAGCAGCAGCCATGCTTACTCGCCTGTTCCCTTCTTCAAGACACGTCAACATGAATTTGGCAGCGAGCAAAGTAAGATGGTTCCAGTCATTATTCGGCTGCAAACTACCAGATCCATTCCAGACCAGACAAAAGCAGCATGTTGGCCCCTTGGGCCAGCATAGACGTATCCTGCGTCAGATAGGTAGTCACTTCATATACCACAGATCCCCGAAAGTGGGACTGCCAAGCTGGTTGAGATTATCCTCGACGGAGCAATAGGCTTCGTAACCATTCAACGGGCCGCCTGCCGTCGGAATGTGAGGGCCCCATAATATTCGCAAAAGACGACTGCGGCTGAGCTCCTCCCTGTCTCAGTGAACCTGGCACCCTGGCATCAAAACTGCCCTGTCGAACCACGGCGCCGTAATCGTAAATAGGACCTTCCTCAACCAGCCCGTGCCCTTAGCCTTCCATCATATAAGAAGGTAGCCTTAGTCACTCGTTCATTCTAGTACTGCCTCCTCACTCCTTTTGAGCAAAGAAATGAGTCCAAGGAATCTGGATATTCTCGGCGCTGTTGTTTTGAATCTGCGTGTCCCAGGAGGACTGTTTGCCTTGTTAGTCGAACGGTCCTACGCAACCCAGACGCGGCCCGTGTCAAGCATCGCAACTCACCCAGTCTATATCGCTACCCATGCCTGGATCGCCGACAGAGTCAAATTGTAGGCCATGCGCAGATTGGAATCCGGGTTGTGCCGTCCAAGCGATTGTTTGCGTCGTGTGAGCCCCTTCTAATGAACCACCCGGGTAGGGCAGCACAGTAGTTGGCCCCCAAGATGAGCTGGGGTGCTGCTCTGATGCGAAGGCTCGAACTCCTGTTTGACAACATGACTTGTCAGTGTCGTGTCAAGAGTTGCTCGTCTGCGGCATACTTACCAGAGGCGAACTGATAGGAAGGCCGTTGGTTCAGATCCACCCCGCCAGGCTGTGCGTTCCCATCGGCAGCCGAGTCTGGGCTGCTTTCGTACTGCGTGCCCGTGGAAATGGTCAGCATCCGAGATATGATCTTGAATGCGCGGCTTGCCTCGGCCGATTGAGTTCGCATCGAGCCCCAGATTCCACGTGAGGTACGGAGTATGTGCAGCAGCCTGTCCTTCTCGATGGGCTCTGCCGCAACCGCTGCGGCGCTGGGAGTCGATGCTCTCAGCAGGAATGATAACTCAAGGCACAGCATCATGTTCGCCAGAAGAAAATCGTGCGTGCTCAGGCTCGACAAGAACCATCTCTCTTTGGAAAGGCGACCCCCAGGCTGTATCTCGGTGTTCACGTCAAATTGATACTCGAGGGTCTTAGTAGCAGCGTCAATACAGTTGAATCGAGAGGGAGCGTAGCGTTGGTCGTTGCGTCCTAGAGCGAAGTAGCGACGGTGTAGAACGACACGCGCTTTGAGGTACATTAGTTCGATCCACAGCCTTTGCATGATGAGGTCAATCGGGTCGCCGATCGAAAGGCTGAAGGATCGCGCTCGGAGGACGGGGGGGATGTCCTCGTGAGCCTTCTCCAATTGATCATTGAGGCGCAGGACTTCTCCGTAGGTTGGGCTGTCTCTGTCGGCCATTCTCGCGAGGATATCGCCAAAGGCAACAACGAGCCTTGACTTCACGATTGTATATAAGGCAGGAGTTCTCTCTGTGAAGGGCCGCTCCAGCGGCAGCTCCGTCGTGGTATCGTCAAAGTCTTCGTCATACAGGTTGTGGGGCAGTCCGGTGTCGAAGTACCTGTGTTGTACGTTACCAGGCAAGCCGAACTGGAAGGCCACCAGCACATCAATCTCGACGAGAATAGTCCACAGCCTCTTTCGCATCTCGTGCTCAAATACAGTAAGCCCTTGGAAGTGCTTGGGGTCCCGATGCAAGCCAGAGTGCATGGCCAATCTGACAATGATAGCCATCATGATGGACGTGCCTCGCTGGGCATCGCTCAGTCGGAGGTATTCGGTACCAAAGTAGAGGATTAGTGCTTCAACTTTGTACTTCCCGGGCTTAGTGTAGTCATCGAGGGCGAGACACTGCGCGGCTCTGATCCGATAGAGATCGAGGATATATTGTGGGGGTCCGATATTGCCAGGAACCTCTTCATCGCCCCGAAGACAGAAGAAGGCGGCGTGGCTGATCATGATGCACAGAAGACCAATCCAAGTGATAGAATAATCGTGAGGACGTTCCCAGAAAGCCGCATACTACTTCAAGTCAGCGAGAAACATCACATGGGAAGTATCACATGACGGGCCTCTCTGAGAAATGCAGGCACATGAAACATGGCTGAAGGATGTCAGCTAATCGTCCTTGTCATGGGAGTGTGTTAGTCGTACACCATGCCGGCTCCTTGCCCTTGAAGAACCGAGCAATGAGACGGTCGGTGATGTCTTTTTGCGGAAGATAATCCATGAGGTCTTGCGTAGTTGCTGGAGGGAAGGTCCCCAACAGCAAGACCGGCCCCTCGGTGCTCGTGAATGATGAGTCGAGATCGTCAGTATCGTCATCTTCCCTCTCCCCGTGCCCAGTGTCGGTCGTCTTGAGCTCGTCGGTGAGCCTGGTAACCTACACGAGACTTAGTATATGTAGACACTCGGAAGACCAAGACCATGGTCACCACGCACATCATCGAGAATGGCTTCCCAGTTGGCCGAGTCCACGTAGCGCAGTTTGTCAACCATTGGTCCAGCGGGGGTTGGTTCCTTGATGCCGCTCAGATCACTTGGCGTCTCAGGCAAGCGCGTTTGGCCGTACAAAGCACCACCCTTTTGGCCGAAAACATCATCCATAACGATGCCGCGCTCAGCGAGTTTTGCTCGCACATCGCTCAAGACATCTTCAAGATGCTTCAGCTTAGCTTGCAGAGTGGGCGTGTCAGTAAGCCCCTGGCGCTGACTGGACGCTTGAGGGACCGGTGCCGGTTGCCTCGTGGCTGTGCGCGGATACAGGTATGGCACATAGTCGCATGAGGCGACAATATCGCGCTTGATGCATTGATCGCAAGGCGACGCTCGATTGCACTTGAGCCTGATGTCTCATGTCAGCATTGATATTTTGACCAGAAGATATGAGGATATGCGGTCTTATGCTGACTTTTTCTCGCGGCAGTGGCTGCAGGAGAATCTGATTCGATTGCGCTTTCGATGTCCTTCAGCTGCGGTAGACGGTTTGCTGTCGGCACGCCCAGCAGACGGCTCTTGTGCTGCGGCGGAACTTTGAGTCTCTGCCATTTAATACGGATATCCCAACGGAACAACAGTAAACGGATATTAGTCGAGCTCCTCTAGACGTCTGAACTGGTTAGCACGAGGCTGAGGACGTCGATCGACTTCAGCGCGACGAACAAGTGCCCTGCGGGGTCGCGGGCGATAAACTGAAGTCGAAGCGCGGGGCAGGTCGCATGCCTAACTAAGGTAAGCACAGTCTGTGCTGTCTGTAGTGGAACGAATTCAACAAGATGACTGGCCCTGAGCCGGAGCCACTCGATGTTTACCTTTCTTGCTCAGAGCTCCATTGTCCAGCATCACATTCGTTTTGGAGGGCACACACAAGTCGACAGCGGCGTTATGCACGAGTGGGACGATGATTTCGCATTCGCCGCAAGCTATTGAGCGACTCGGATATGGGCGCCGTGCAGCCCATCTTACCTCAGGGCGCCACATGGGTGAGGAGCCAGCGAATCGCGCAATGGGCGCTCGTCGTCTTGCCCACGGACGCTGCAGAGCCATCCTGTGTCACTTGAAGCACAGAGTGTCGCCCTTCTTTGGCAATCTGGAGACATGTCAAGCCTGTCGTTCGGGCATGACGGAGGCCATCCAAGTTATATAGGTCGTCGGGATCCCAAGCCCGGATTTATGGCACCATGTCCACGGCGCCCATCGCGTCTGTACCGCCGGATTTTCGATTGGAAGCGAGAACACTGACAGATAACTCCGGCGCTCGCAGCTCTAAAACCCCAGATGACTGGCCAATCTTGTCTGGCCCCGGTCTTAGGCCCCGGGATTGTCAGACGGAGCTGGCCCCGACCCTGAGTGCTAGAATCCCCACAGGTCTTGGCTGGCTGGAGGACGACAGTGAAGATGTGTGAGCCGTCTCTGTTGGGTTTTGCGTGGTGTTCGATTCCATGGAAGACGAGACCTGCTTTGGAGGTGGCCTTCGAGCCTTGATCAACTCTGGCGCGACCACCATGTTTGATGGAAGTTCCCGTGCATTGGTAGATACCGATGCCCGGATCGTTTGACCATTTCATGCTGGCTCAGGCCTCCATCGGTTTGGAGTCTCAGCGACGCCATGGTTGGCGACACACTGGTTGCTGATCGGGGTGGTCAACCCAAGTACCTTGACCTTAGGCGGAAGAGAAGCGTGCCGAGAATAGTCTAGGGCGAAAAGGTACGTACTCGAGAGCCTGCCACCAAGAACCGGGAGCCATCATGAACGAAAATGACGTCGTGAGCCTCTCGCCCTTCCGTGTCACCATGCCGCGCTGTCACGATTGACCATTCCACACCTCCCTTCTCGACGCACGTCGCATCACTGAGCTCACCACGCCTTCGTCCGGATCGCCAACCATGGCTGACATGCAGCCGTCACGTCAGTATGCTCGATCCCGAGTGCCGCTCTTCGTGCGAAGATTCGCGAACGACATTGGACGCTGTGCGCGCGCAGCCTCATTTCCCCTACGCGGCATTTGGTACTTTCTGCGCAACAAGGAATTCTACCCATTGTTCCTCAGCCGCTTACTGCCTCTCTCCATCATCTCTGTTCTTGTCTATGTCATTCTCTTCACCTTTACCTTCCTACCACAACTTGCCCTCCTCGCCATTTTCCAGGGCAGAAGCGCCTGGCTCAATGCCACAATCCTGGTGCTTGGAGAAGGGCTCGTCGTAATCCAAGGGCTCTTTGAAGGCTTCTTCGTCGATGAGGCTCGTGTTGATGTGTTCGACGTGAGTATCTGTCCCTCTGACTACCCCAAGTCATGTTCTGACCTCTTGATCCAGGCTACTCTTATCAAGTACTCGCACACCGACCTCGTTTCTCCTCATCGAATCCTATTTCCCGATGCGCCGACCGCCATAAAGATGCTGGGGAAACCTACCAGTTCCGCCATCTACACACCATGGAGCATGATCCAGATCATCGAGGTCATCGTGTTCCTGCCTCTGAACTTCATTCCCATTTTCGGCGCACCTGCCTTTATCATCATCACTGGAACGCGCCTCGGCAAGCTCGCACATTACCGCTGGTTTCAGCTGCGGGGTCTCAGCAAAAAAGAGATGAAGCAAGAGATCAGCTCGAGAGTTTGGGAGTACGTGTGGTTTGGGACTGTGGCCATGATCTTGGAGCTCATCCCTGTCTTCTCGTTTTTCTTCTTGCTCACAACAAGCGCGGGCTCTGCCATGTGGGCGGCGCGGATCGAGGACGAGAAGAGGCGGTTGGCCGTTGGTGATTTGGTAGGTGACGGCGGCCCGTCCGCTTCTTCGCCGTCGGAAGCAGTGCCACCACCAGCCTACGAGGATGATCCCGTGTAGTCTCCAAGGCAACAGCCACTAGGCAGTTTGGCTTTGATCGAAACATCCATACTCTAATCATGATTGCGCTTTCGGCTGTACATCGATCTAGCGGGACTCATCCACACGGAATTGGCGCTGGACCATTTGAGGGACAGAGGTGACGGGCTCGGATTGTAGTCACTTCGACCGCCGACACTCACGTGCCCTGTTCAGGGCTGAATACCCTCTTCATCACATTGCAGGCCTACCAACGCTGCTTGGTGGGAGGGCGCCTGAGTGAGGCTGTCTTCCACAGGTTATCGTTGGTCCCGCGCTCAAGAAATTGGTCATGATTGAGTTTCAAATTATCCACCACGCGGCAGGTGCTATACTTAAGCATGCCTTCGAATAGGGAAGGAGAGACCTCGGCCAAAGCCACTTGAGCGGCAAGAGCAGTGGTCTACCCCTAGGAACCGCCGAATCTGGGGCTACATTTTGGAAGGCGCGTCTGCACAATGCCATTTGGTTGGCAAGAAAGAATGAACAGCAACGCAGAGGAATCTACTTCCTGCCTTCAATGGCATCAAGTCCCGTGGCGACAAATCACGAGGACAAAAGCACCTGTTTATAGCCATGAAATGCCGACCTCATACAGCGACTGCTTCTTGTCAACGCTCTGCCGAACATATCACATGAAACCCCAGTAAACAATTCAAAACTTGTCTATATTCCATGCTGTTGCTGATGTGATAGTCATGATGAACATGGAAGTCTGTGATCTGCGGCGTTTCCCCTTTCCCTCTCCCGTGCCTGGTGCCGGTGCCCCTGACAATCCTGGGCATGAGGTGGTTCCTTCCCTCATCAGAGTGCGTTGGAGAGAACCCAAGAACATCAACGCGGCAGGAACGATGCTGCCGCCCCGCGTGCTTCACCATGGTCGTAGGGTCCTCTTTCCTTCAGATCGTGACATGTGAGTGCTGTTGCCCACAACCTCCCTCATCCTCTCACAGATCTCTCTCAACAAATTCTTCTCCCTTCTCCATCCCAATCTCTCATCCCCTCCATTTCCCTCCCCTCTCGCTCCCCCTCACGGATCACTTCTTCGTCTTCTCTTCGTTTGTCGTTACAGTTGTCCGTCCACTTCAACGTCAGTCATTCTTTTCCCGTATTGGGGGTTCAGATTCTGCTTCGTTCATTGTTTCAACGTTGTAGCGGCCTTCCAATCCAGCGGTCGTCTTGGGCAGCCCGCATCACATACTCAAGCTCCCGAGGCCCTTGCATCGTCACCGGCACTGAGTCTCACGACGGCTGAGATGCGTATTCACGCTCTTTTCGGCGTCCTGGCCTTTGGCCTCCTCGGCTTGACGTCGGCCGAGGCTTTCCCTCCGTAAGTCTCATCCTCGGACGATGAAAGAGATCGTCGGCGTACTCGTCGCTCTGATGGCTCACTAACCCAAACAGCGACAACGGTTACGGAGACGGCACTTGTGCCCCTACGGCTACCACCACTGTCTTTGTCACCGTTCCTGCCACCAACGCCGCTTCTCCTCCCTTTGTGGCTGGTCCTCAGACTGTCACCGTCACTATTCCTGCTTCTTACAATGGAGCTCCTGGAAACCCTCTTTCTCCCGTCTATACAGTTACCGTTCAGACCTTTGGTCCTGGTGAGAGCTCTCCCTACAATGGCCCACGTCCCTGGGAATCCCGCTTGACAGCTACTGGGGTTGCTACCCGCACTATTACCCTACCTGCTCCGGACGCTGTGCCCTCTACCCCAACTGGTGGCAATGGTTCTCCTGGTACAAACTCCCCTGGCCCTGACGACAACACTGGTACCCCTGGCACGCCTGGCCCGGGAAGCCCCGGCACCGATGGTGGAAATGGCTCCCCTGCGCCAGATGGTGCCTCTGACAACCCTGGTTCATCTGGTGGCTCACCTGCAGATGGTTCTCAGTCCGACCCTGACTGTGTCACTGTCATCACCACTACCTTGTACAGAACAGAGACCGGCACCGGCAATGGTTCGCCCACCGTGGACACTGTCGTCGCTACCCTCACATTTACCTATCCCCATGACGCAGATGGATCCAACAATGATGGTTCTGGCACAGTTGCCACGAATGCTCCCGACGATGGGCAATTGCAGCCATCGATCATTACCAGGACCGTTTATCAACCTGCTATAGGACCAGGTCAGCCTTCGCCATCTCCAAGCTTGGTCGTCGAGACCATCACCATTCAAGCACAAGACCCGAATGCAGCTGGCAGCAACGGCCCAGGCGTCACTGCTGTACCTGGCATCCCTGGTGATAGCAACAGTGGCCCGTTTTCTGTCATTACTACAACTCTTTATCACGCAAGGACCATTCCTGGGCAGGCTGTTGTTACCACTGACACCATCGTTGCCAGCTTCACAATTGCTTTCCCTCCGGTGTCTCCCACCAACTCTGGCAACGATGGCTCATCCGGTTCCCCCGCAGGCACCGATGGCAGTGTCACTTTCATCACTACTACTTGGTACGAGACCACCACGTGTCTGGATTCGTTGGGTAACCCCACACCTACTGTCGTGACGCATGCCACTACCATCGCGAGCGTGCTCCCTCTCCGGGCTTCCAACGTGCCGGATGCTGGCGTCGGTTCACAGGCCTCAGGAGATCATGGCGATCTTGTCACCGTCATCACCGAAACTGTCTATCGTCCCGTCCCGACACTTGGTCACAATGGCGAAGATTCTCCTCTCGTTGATACCATCGTCGCTACAATCACTGCCACATTCCCGGGCGACGCCATGGACGATGGCTCAACAGGTGCTGACATCGTCACGGTCATCGTTACGACGCTCTATGTCACCGCGACCTCACCAGCAGGCTCTTCTGGCGGCGAGCTCACCTCTTCCAATGGTGCCGTTGTTCAGACATTGACCGTGACAATCCCAAGTCCGCCACCTGTCCCAGGTGGTTCCTTGACTGGCGCTCCCGTGGCAACTCCCGGATCAGGCAACGGCTTTGGGCCAGACAGTGTCATCACTACATCACTGTATCGTACGGCCACGTACATCGGTCCTGATGGCCAGGCTACAGTCACAACCGAAACATACGTCGCAACAATCACCGCCGGCACTTCGCCTTTTGGTCCCTACCTTCCTACTGGTGTTCCCAATGGTGCTCCAGGTAACAGCAACCCCCAAGTCACTGTCGTGACACAAACACTTTATCCAACAGGCCCTATCCCTGACAACTATGGTGGCGCCGGCTCCCCAAATGCTGCCTCCGGTTCTCCCGGCTCAGGTGTCCCCGGCTCAGGTGTCCCAGGTTCCGGGGTCCCGGGTTTCTCTGATGGCTCTTCTCCCTCTGTTGTCGTGTACACCACGACACTCCTCCCAAGCGGCCTGATCCCAAATGATCCATTTGGCAATGGCGCTAGTACCGTTATCACTGTTACCTTCCCCAATCCCACGGCAACTGGACCCAAAGACAGTATTGTGCAGACCCTGACTTACATTTTTCCACCAGCCACGCCAGGTGCTGGAGGTGGACTGCCCAGCACACCAACAAATCTTCCTGGTGGTCTTGGATCTCCTGGCCAGGTTTCTCCAGTTGGCTACAATTCCGACCTCACAGCCGGAACTGCAATTCCATTACCGCCCGACGGCGGCGCTGGCGAAATATCGGACACACTCTATCTTACCAGCACTTTCGTGGTGACTCAGACCATCCCAGCTGCCTATAACAATGGCAACAGCGTCGTGACATACCTCTCTGTTGCCACAGCCGGCACTGCATTGCCGTCCGTTGCTTCTGGTGCCGGTGGTGTGTTCGGGCAGCCAGGGCAACTCCAGCCCCCTGTACCCGGAGGTCAATCTGGAAGTGGTCAAGTTCAACCACCTGCCTCGGGCGCTGGCCAATCCGGCACTGGTCAACCTGGGACTGGACTGCCTGGCACCGGACTGCCTGGCGCTGGACAGCCTGGTACCGGGCAGCCTGGTACCGGACAACCTGGCATCGGTCAACCCGGTACTGGTCAACCCGGTACTGGTCAATCACAACCACTTGTTCCTGGCACCGGACAGCCCGGGGCTGCGCAACCACAGCCACTTGTTTCCGGGAGTTCCTCTCCTGCGTCGGCGCCTTGTACTTCTGGTCTGCAAACAGGAATCGGAGGTCTCTCAGGAACTGTTGCTCCTGCTCAGCCATTGCTACCATCAGGTGAGGCCACACTGCCTGGTGGTTATGGATTCACTCAACCCCCAATGCAGCCTCCTGCTGGCGTGCCCACTCCCGCTCAGCCCGTCAACAACCCACTGCTTTCAATCTCGGGAGCTCTCCCCCTCATTGGAACCCAGTCACTCAATCCTCTTCTTCCTACCGGTGTTCCGCAGCCGCCTTCTGGTATTCCCCCAGCCGCGGGAAACCCCGCCCAACAAGTTCCCGGTGCTGCTGCTGAACACAACAGCAAGGATTGTTCCACCACTCTGCGAACCTTGATCGTCACCTCTGTCCAGACTAGCACATTCTTCAATATCGTGCCTGAACTCACCACGACTTATACCTTCCCGTATCAAGCACTCGTCACGGTCGAAAGCACCATTGTGACAGCAGAGTCGGCCCCAACTCTTTTGAAGAAATTCAGGCGCCAGCACGACGAACCCCTTGTCTTTGCAAACACAACTCAAGGAGGCCACCCAGCGTCTTTCGCGCCCCCTGTCGATGCCACTCTAATTACGATCCAGCCTGCGGTGATCCCAACCGCTCTGAGGCGTTTCAAGCGACATGTTGACATCAAACCGGCCTTTGCCAACACTACCACAACTGCCTCCAGACCCTCTGCCATTACTAGGGAGCCGACATTGTCAACTCTTTTTCCAAAACCAACCCATGGAAACTCCACCTTCATTTCGACTTCATCGCTTCCGGCTTTGTCTGGAACTACTGTGCAGCAATCTACTGCGTCTCCTGTCCGCGATCATACCAGCAGTAGTCTCTCATCAAGATTGTCCGACACACCAAGCAACATCTTGACGGCATCCGCCACCATACCTGTTCAAGTTCCAATCTGCACGGGAGCAAAGGAAGTCGGTAACCAGGTGCTTGATGTAAGTCAACTCGCATTTTCCGTCCCATATTTTCATGTTTGCTCACGTGTCCGGACCTCCAGTTTGATGAGCTGCCCGTCGGCCCACTTTACAACCCGTACAGTCGCTTCTGGTTCTCCACTGGATTCCTCATCGCGCCTCCGCCATCAGTGCCATATACCCCTTCGTCTGGAGGCCGACTTCTCGAGTTTGTGCCTCCAGTTCTTACGAACGGCACGCTTGATACCTCGCAGTTCGGGGCTGGCATTGATGCAGCTTCGAATTGTTTCCGGTTCAATTTCTTCGGCGCCAATCTTGGCTGCGATGCCCATGGGGAGAATCAGTTCTGCGAGTTCACCTTCACCGGCTACCGCTTCAACTCGACCCTCAATGCTGAGGCCGAAGTCTTGTCACAAGTCACATGGGTGCCATCATGCCCCACGCTCAAGGAATGCAATCTCACACCGTTCTTGGTGGAGGGATTCAACAACCTTTCATCTGTTCTTGTCACTCTTCGGGTTGACGGCAAGCCTCGCCCTTGGTGGGCGGATGACCTCAAGGTTGGCTGGACTGACAACAGTTGCGATGCGGCCCGGTGCCGCGCTGGCACACCACACCACACAGCCACCAAGCGTGGTAAAGAAGGCGAACCCGTCTGGTACTGGACTCCTGGTGGTCTGCGCCGACTCGGGTCCCGCTTCATGAAGTTCAGGGGTTGAAATGGCACAGTTGGCGCCTCGCCAGCGACTTGTTAGGCTGCATGAGGATGCGGCTGCCTCGCATATGAATCGTCAAGTGAAAGGGAAGGCGTGTTGAGATGGTTGTCGATTACTCGAGACGTTTGCTTTGTTACGATGTTACGATATATGGCATGCGTTTTTTTGGGCTGGGGGTTAATGGTGGATTGGCCTTCTGGGCGGCGTTGTGTCTCATGGCTGATGTAATAGGGAAGACTAAAGCGCAGAGTACATGGCGTGGTCAATGGGCAGATTGTACCTTGTTAGAAATACTTACAAGTTCAGTGGATTGGTTCTTGGTGCACAGCGAAGCCGCCCATGGGCACTTAAGCCATGGGCGGCCACAAGTGTCATGTGACGGTCGGGATTTGAAAGGGTACATAGGTATTCGGGTTCGGCTTGCTAATCGACTGGCCGTGCGAGATCGGAGAGTTGAAGACAGGGCCGGCGGCCAGAGTGCAACGCTACGTGGTCGGCGGTTGTAACGGAGTTGGCCGGGGCCTTGACAATCGACGCTACTTCAGTGGTTGAACGGGCGAAGGACGGGATTAAGGCGGGGGCACGTCACAGGGCGCTCTTCAAAATCTGGGGCTGCGTTTGTCATCCATACGATCACTGGGCTTGTCTAGGGGGTTGATGACTCGATTGGGAAGCTTGCCTGCCAGGTCTACCTGGGCAAGTCAGTTCCCTAGAGTAAGATGGGTAGGCATGGCTAGTTTAAATACAGATAGAGGGGCCCACTGCTGGTGTTGTCATCGTTGTGGTCTGGGAGATCATCTTCAAGTCGACCTGTATTGATCGGACCATCCATCGGTGGCGTCTACAATTGACGTCCAGGGCCATCTTTATTTTCCACGACAGTGTCATTGAATAGCGGGACGAGTCTGTTTTTTTTTCTTGGTGCCGAGAGCATCACGTCACACTGGCAACCTGTATTGAACGTCGGCGACGATGGTGGACGCAACAACGTCGTCGGAGCCGTCCAGCGATATCGAGAAGCTGGAGCACTTCCCGACAGATGGTTCAGATTCAGAAGTCAGGCAGATCAAGACGGAAAGAGAGAGAACAGACGCATCCAGCAATGCCACTAGTGATGGAGCAGGCGAGGTTGACCAGCGTGATGGCGATGAAAACCAGCCGACGACCAGCATCGCGAGCCGTGTCCTCAGTCGGATGACTTCACGCTCAAGCGTTGCGCCAGGGCCGCCACCTGATGGAGGTTTTACCGCATGGATGTGTGGTAGGTGACACCGTTCCCCTACCAAACTACTTGCAGCAGATCCTAACGATCGTGTCTTTCCGCAGTTCTCAGTGGACATCTCGTCATCATGAATACTTGGTATGATGCTCTCCCTTCCTCCCTCGGTCTTACTCGCCATACCACGAGAAGGTCCAACTGACTGACCTCGATCTAGGGGTGTCATCAACTCTTTTGGTGTATTTCAACCGCACTACACGTCGACTCTGAACCGTGCGCCGTCTGACATCTCTTGGATCGGCTCATTCGAGATCTTCCTGCTCTTCTTCATCGGCACCTTTACCGGCCGCTTGACCGATGCGGGATTCTTCCGCCTCCTTTTCGCCACGGGCTCCGTGCTCGTGGTGGCCGGCACCTTTGCCACGTCGTTCTGCACACAGTACTGGCAGTTCTTCCTGGCGCAGGGCGTCTGCATGGGCCTCGGCAATGGATTCTTGTTCTGCCCGTGCCTGTCTCTGCTTGCGACGTACTTTCAGAAGAGGCGAGCGCTGGCGATCGGCATCTCGGCGTGCGGCAGCGCGACGGGCGGCCTGGTGTTTCCCAGCATCGTCAGGGAACTGCTGCCGCGGATCGGGTTCGGCTGGACGATGCGGGTCATTGGGTTCATCCAGCTGGCCACCATGCTCGTGAGCTTCTTCTTCCTCAAACCGAGGATCGCTCCGCGCAAGGCCGGCAAGCTGGTGGAGTGGGCGGCCTTCGCGGAGCTCGAGTACACGTTCTACGCCTTGGGGTCCTTCCTGGTGAGTTTCCTTTCCCCCTTCCGCAGACTCGCCTCGCGGGCCTACTCACACATCACACGGCAGTGCTTCATGGGGGTCTACTTTGCCTTCTTCTACCTCGCCTCCTACTCGCGCGACGTGGAAGGCCTGTCCTACCTCAACTCGCTCAACCTCCTCCTGCTCCTCAACGGCATCGGCGTCATCGGCCGGCTGCTGCCCAACTACGTCGCCGACACGCTCGGCACCCTCAACATGTTCATCCCCATGGCCGGCATCAGCTCGCTGCTGGCCTTCTCGTGGATGGCCGTGTCGTCCGAGCCGGGCCTCTACGCCTGGGTCGTCTTCTACGGCATCGCCGCCGGCGGCATCCAGAGCCTGTTCCCCGCCGGGCTGAGCGCGCTGACGTCGGACCCGCGCAAGCAGGGCACGCGCATGGGCATGGTCTTTACGATTGTGAGCTTCGCCGTGCTGACGGGGCCGCCCATCGCGGGGGCCGTCATCGACGCCACGGGCGGGCGGTACGTCGGCGCGCAGGCCTTTGCGGGGAGCTGCATGGCCCTCGGCATGGGGGGGTTGCTGGCGGCCCGGGAGGTCAAGAGACGGAAACTCGGCAAGGGGGTTTGGGCCAAGATGTGAGCGAAGGGCACGCCCGTACGGACCGCGTTCTAGAGGAAGAAGCGAAAAAACGAATACACTGTTCGTCTGCTCGAAGAGAAAGAAGCAGGCGCTTTATGCATAGTGCCAACCGCGGAGCATGCAGCTCCAACGCTACCTGATATGTGGGACATGCCAGGTTCGGGGACGTGGGTGGGTGGAGTGAGGGCTCTTCCTAGCCACACGTGCATTCGATTCTTCGATGGGCGTGGTTTGGAGAGCGCCCATTCCTGAAGTCCCAACGCTTTTGGTTGCAGAGTAACTCTTCATCGATGACCGGGACTCGAGGCTTTTTACCTGCTTGCTGATCCCACGCCTGCACGCGACAGCACTACGCAACGGCGCTTGCCATGCGTTGTCTTGTAAAGTTCCCGTGCGAAGCGGCCGTTTGCCGTACTGTTCCAGGAAAGGGGGGCTCCTGGATTATCAACACGCCAGTGGACGGATCATAAGTTGAAATGCAATGCATAGCGTGTCATTTCACACAGACACATGGCCAAGACCTCGTTGACAACAGTTTGCTATAACTACATCGTCACATCATCACTCATCAGCCGCCCATACACCAACCGTCCCGTGTTCTACACCTCGCTCACCCAACCCTCCGACACACTCCCAAACTCATTCGCAAGCCAACATGTAATCTAGATGATGTCGTGGTCGCATGCCTTCATGCTCTCCAGGTGCACATGCAGACCCTCGTCGCGAATCTCCCTCATGGCCGCAAACGACGTAGAGTTGACCAGCGTCTTGGGCACAAGCTCGACGCCGTCCGTCGCCAGAACGCTGATGACGTGGGCCGCGGCCTTGGCGTTGGTGAAGAGCGTCTCAGGGTTGGGGTTGTCAATGTTGTCGCACGCCTGGTGGTAGCAGGCGTCCTGCTCGGCGCCCGTACCCGTGAAGAGGCCGCCAACGGGCTTCTTGATGACCTGCTGGAAGGGAACGTAATCGGTGCCGCCCGTGAGACCGACGGGGCGCGTCTCGACACCCTCCGACTCAAAGTGGTCGAGGAAGAGCTTCTCAATGGCCTCCGAGCCGGGGGCGCCGCCGGGACCGACATCGGCACCGTCGCCGTCAAAGACGCCAAAGAAGCCGCGCGAGACCATGTCAAAGTTGACATAGAGAAGCAGGTTATCGACCTCGGCCGAAGTCATGTTGTTCACGTAGAACTTGCTGCCCCATAGGCCGTTCTCCTCGGCACCCCACCATGCGAACCGCACCTTGAGATTGGTCGAGAAGCGCGACAGGGCCTTGGCGAGCTCGAGAATGAGAGTCGTGCCGGAGCCGTCATCGTTGATGCCGGGCCCGGCTTGAACAGAGTCGAGATGCGCGCCGACCATGACGACGTTGCTCGCGTCGCCACCCTTGGTCTCGGCAATGACGTTCTGCGTGATGCGCTCTTCAATGAGCTGCGTGATCTGGAAGTGCGCCGTGACAGCCTCGCCCGCGTCGAGGCGGGCTTTGATGGCACGGCCAGGGCCCTGGTCAATCAACAGGGCCGGAACGTACTCGACGGGGTTGGGCAGCGACAGTGAGCCGGCCGTCAGCTGGGCCGGGTCCGAGTTGTAAATGGCGACGGCAGCGGCGCCGGCGGCAGCAGCAGCCTTGAGCTTGCCAGCAAAGGTAGTCTGGTCGGGGCACACGCCACGCTCGACGAGGACGATCTTGCCCTTGGCGTCGATGTTCTGCGCAGCGTAGTTGGCGGCCGCACAGCCAGCCGGCCCTGTGGGCGCGTGCACAATGGGCAGGTCGACACCCTCAGCACTTGTGCTTGGCGAGTAGGTCAGGCCGACGGAGCGGAAGACCTCGCCGTCAACGGAGAACTCCTTGGCTGTCGTCTCGACAAACAGGGCAGGGAAATCCTGCTTTCTAATCTCGAAGCCCTTGAGCTTCTCGAGCTCGCCGTAAATGTAGTCGACTGAGGCAGCGTAGCCGGGGAAGCCGAAAGCGCGGTGACCACCGTTGGCGTAGGCAATGTCATTGAGCACCTCGAGGTTCTTCATCAGGCTGGAAAGGGACGAGTTAGCTTGCCTGGGCATTGCAGCAGAGACTCTCGATGACGCCGGGAGGAGGGGCAGGACGCATACGCATCGGACTTGATGAGCTCTTGCAGCTTGTCCGAGTCAACAGGCGGGTGACAGGGCTTCGTCTGCGCGGCGACGACGGGCAGAAGCGCCGCCGCCAAAGGAGCGTTGGTGAACTTCATGATAGCAAGATCGTGGGGATTGCTCTTGCGCTGGAGAGTGGTGCTGATGGAACAACCATGACAGACGCAGCATCCTGGGCATCATGTCTTTCTTATTTGAGCAGCTGTAAGCCTGCCATCCCCGCAGCCCTCCTGTGTTGTCTCGCCACCCCACCAGCTACCCATGGTGAGCGTTGAGCTGGCGCATTTGTTGCTGATTGTTTTTTTTGACAAGCTCAGGCAACGGTGAAGATCGAGTTCAAATCGGGAAGGTCGTCATGCCGCCGCCAGAGGACCCCGCAGCTCGAGCTGCCGTCCGCGGCCCAGCCCCGAGTCAGCGTTGCATGCCAAGTGGCCCCTCGAACCACAGCATCGAGGGAGCTCATCCACAGTGACACAAGCCGCCAACATCGCCTGCCCCATCCGGCCGCTAGAAGCAGAAAGCGTCCAGCCTCCCGCTGCCCATCGCCCGCCTCCCGCGAAGGTTTGCGAAGGTTTTCGCCTTAGCAGTTGACCCGAAGCACCACCCCATCCGGCCGGACACACTGCAGCCACCCGTCACGCCGTGCCATCTCTGCGAGCAGGTACTGTGCGTGTCGCATCTCTTACATTCACGAACACGAACAATGAGTCAAAATTGGGTCGTAAGAATCCATCCACTTTCTTGATGCGCCTCATAATGGCTGGTTCCCTCCCGACCTGCCCATGCCTCGGCTCCTCCCATGTCTCGTCTTTCATCTGCGTGTCGACGGAAACCAACCCATGGTATGTTGTTTGCTCGAACATGCGAGATCCTTCACTGCTGCTGTCTGGTATCCGTGTTCTCATCCGTCATATAATGCATCGCCTCTACATGAGGATCTGAATAAAAGAGATTTGATGGTTAGCAAGGTTTTCCATAGCGGGCCGTTATCTCGCGACTTACACATTGGTCGTCGCCTTTGCCCTGGGGAATACCCATCTCCTCAAATGTCGCAGGGCCCTGGCCCGGCTGCTTACCCGGCTTGGCCTGTGCTGGGGCCGGTGGTCGTGGTTGCGCCCCCGGCGGTGCACTCCCAGTCCTGCCCTCTAGGTCCGGTCGTCCTACGGGAGGTCGCCCACCCGCACTGGGGCCTGTCGATACCCGGGGTGCACTCGCTGGGCTGCCGACCGGCATCGAATCGTACCTTTCCGGTCGACCTCCCGGGCCAACTGCTGTCGAGGTAGGGCGTGAAGACGTCCGCGCTCCGTACTCGCGACCCGGCTGTGGTTGCGATGACAGATTCGGCTGGCTGTAGTTGTTTGGTGCGCCAGGGGCAGGCCCAGGACCGGCGCCGTAGCCACCGCCACCGCCGTACGGGCTCTGTGGTTGCGGCTTGTTGTTGTAACCCGCAGGTGCCTGTTGTTTGCTGAGCTTATTGACAGCCGGGTTGCTGGCAGGACCGCCACCGCTGCCGCCCCCGTATGGCTGTGCCGTTGACGGGCGCTGCATATCCTGGCGGCCGTAACCCCCGGGGCCAGGGCTCGGCTGCCTGTATCCCCCGCCCGGAGGGCCAGGGCTCGGCTGTCTGTATCCCCCGCCCGGAGGGCCAGGGCTCGGCTGTCTGTAGCCGCCAGGTCCCTGGGCGGGCCGGCCGCGGGGGTCGCCGCCAGTTGGTGCCAGGTTCGCCATCGACTGCGAACCGCGTATGCCCTCGTTGCCGTAAGGGTGTCTTCCACCAGAGACATCCGTCGCACTCGGGCGAATGCCAAAGGCGCTCATGGGTCGGTCAGCGTGGGGTCCGGAGGCAGAGCGGAGGTTCCCGGCGCTGAGATGCCTCGAGGCCATGTCGTCATCGGGATATGGTGCCGTGGATGGCGATCGACCGCCGTAGTTGAGCGGCGCGGGCCTGTCATCTTCAGGATATGGCGCGGCTGACTTTGGACGCATAGCCAAGCCTGTGTCGAGGTTGACGCCGAATGCAGGCGTCCTGGCGACCTGAACAGACGCGCGGGAAGGATCAGGAAAGTCCAGACCATCCTGGACCAGCGTGGGATGCTGTCCAGGTGAGGGTTGAGGCGAAACCCGAGGAGACGGCCTGTCGATTGGCGTTGTCGGCGCACTCTCCGTCACAGTCGGCATCGCCTTGCTGGGTTGTTGTTGTTGTTGTCTGAAGCGGTCTGGTCTCTTGCCACGCTGTGAGCCGTGAGTAGACTTAATTCTGGTCAACGTGGTCGTCTCGTGGTCTTGTTTGGTCAAGGCCTTGGACTCGCTGAGGGAGTCAAGACGGCCGACGGCATCCTTGTTGCCATGTTCTGCGGCTAGTTCGTACCAGTGACGAGCTTGGCGGAGGTCTTTGGAGACGTGGATGCCGATTTCGTGGTAGTAGCCCATGGCAAATTCGCCAGTGGGCAGCTTGGCCACGGCGGCATCATGGGCATACTTGTAGGCCAGCTGCTCATTCTTGTTGAAAACGCCCTCGTAGCCAAAGAGAAACCACCTGCTGACGCCGAGCGAGGCTTCAGGCTGGCCCTGTTGCGCGGCCAGGCCGTAGTAGTGGATGGAGTAGGCTGGTTTGAAGTCGCATCCCAGCTGGCACAGCTCGTACGCTTGGCCCATCTTCAGCTGCGCCTTGGCGAATCCCAAGTAAGCCGCCTTTTCCAGGTACATTTTGGCCAGAGACAGATCGAGGGGTAAGACTGTGTCGGGTATACTAATCTCGGGCAGCTCCCTCGACAGCAGCATGCCGTAAACGTAAGCACCTTGGGGCGCGTCCTCGTCCGCTGTGTCGGCAGCCTCGTTGATGAGCTGCAATCCCCTGTTGTAATCTTTGGGCTGACCGTGCTGACCCAGCAAGCTCATCATGCCCAGTCGGTAGGAGGCGGCAGAGTCCTTGTGGCGCAGGCCGACGTAATAGTGCTCGACAGCTTGCACAAAATCGTTAGAGCTCTCAAACAGCATGCCCATGCGATATTCAGCACGGCCGTAGCCCAAAGCTGCAGCTCGTTTGTAGCCGTTGTAGGCCTCCTTCTTGTCTTGACGAACGCCAAACTTGCCGAATTCGTGCCACTTCGCCTTGATGAACATGGCTTCAGGATGATCCTGCCCTGCGAGGTAGTCGACGATGCTAACGGCATCTAGTCGTAGAGTGTGCTCAACCTTGGGGGTCTGGGGGCGGGGTTGGCCGTCTGCTTCCCTGACGGCAGCCTCTTGCAGGATCTCGACCCACGAGAGGGTATCGCGCGCCCATGACAGCTGCATGGAGACATTGTTCGAGTGCAGAACATGCTCGCGAGCTTTCCATAGAATGCCCTCCTTGTCTTCGTCGCTTGGCGGGATATTCTCCCCCTTCACTTTTGGGAAGGGGGAGAAGGAGGGGGCGTCGCCAGTGTGCGACATGGTGGCGGTCTTGCCTGGGGTGCTGCTGGGCAGAGCGGTATAATCGTCGTCAGTGGTCTTTCCGTACGCGTTGGCGGGAGGGCCCCGAAGAGACGACTGTCGCTGCGGGTGATTGCTGTAGAGGCTGGAGGGGGAGTTGTCGTCGTTTGCCGGTCGGGGGGCTTCGCGTGCTTCAAGTTCCATGCGCTGAAGGTCGTCTTGCATGTTCTGAGGGACCTGCGGCGTTATGCTGTAGGGAGAAGAAATGCAATGTCAGCGGGCGGCGTGCAAACCGGTGGACGGAGGTGGCAGAGCGCGCAGGCCGCGAGACGAGGGGTCGCCAAAACCGGACTTTCTGAGGGATTCCCCGGCCAAGTGCAGATTTTGAGGCGCGCCGCTGGAAGGAAACGGCACAGCGAGCGCGGCGGGGCACTCGTGCAGGGAGTAACAGAAGAATCAGACGTACCGCTGGGGGGCGGGCGCGACGACCTCAGGCATGTAATAGTCATCGAAGCCGCTGGGAACAAATGTCGCGCCGAGCTGGGGCATATCGGGTGCGGGTGCGTGAGCCTGTGACAGGTTTTGAGGCTGAGGCAGGAGGTCTGCATAAATAGAAATAGCGTCAGCGGGGGGCGGATGTTCAGTCGTTGGCCGCTGGGTGCCTGGATCGGTGGAGGACGGAGTGGTCCTGCGCGGGTGGGCGGATAGGCACTACACTGACGGTGGTTGGTGCTGGTGAGCGGCCGATGGGAGCCAGGAGAGTACTTTGTCAGGAGGGCCCTGTCAGGAGTGGGAACGGGGTGTGCAGTTGACCAGAGTGAGACTATCGAACGGTCGACCGGGCTTCGCGCAGCGTTTGTAGACAGGGGCTTGCTTCTGCCACCACGCTTGAGATGGCTCGAGTGATGGTTGTTGGGTTAGGGGGGGTGCGAGGGGAACGAGAGCGGGAACGAGGAATGCGATCGGATGCGGGGGCTTCATCAACACAATGCATCGGAGCGAGCGAGGCCCATCTTGTAGTTGAAGGCGGGGAGGGGCGGAGGAGGCCCATAGGAGAGGCCCATAGGAGAGGCCCATAGGAGAGGCCCATAGGAGAAGCCCATAGGAGAGAGGAGCCTCCTGGCTGGCGTATTTGCCATTCATGGGACCCCCTCCATGCCTGTCAAAATGGCACGCAAAGCCCGTGCTACCCTGCTCAGGCACCAGAGGAGAGGTCAGGTCGGGCAGGGCACGAAATGAAGACGCTCAAAGGCCGTTTCGCAACGGAGCTGCTGCTTGCCAAAAGGGGAAGCCCACTGTTCCTGGGCGGCTCGTTGAAACATGCGAAAGCGCGTACTGGGAAGAAGGCATGGTCGCAGTCCCACAGGCTGTGTGAGTGATTGAGTGACTGACCGACCCATAGTTGGCGGCTGACCCAGCGTAGGTGTGGATGTGGAAGCTGCTGCGCCCTGCCCGACGAAAGCAAGCCCCTTTTCATCGAAGTTGCTAAATCGGAACTGCCTTCTTCGGGACTCGTTTGGTGGGTGATAGTAGCATCCGGCCGATAGGTGCCATCGTGTTGGTCTCCGCGGGCCGGCCGGTAGCTGCTGTTGTGTTCTGCGATTGCGTTGCATGCCGGGTCTTGCAGGCAAGGATGTATGCCTCTGCGCCGTATGTAGCGAGTTGCCTAGGTCCCGTAGGTGGGGGGTTGGGTGGGTTTGGGTGTGCAAGGGTGGCCAGCGTTCAAGCGCTACTCGCTTTGTTGCCTCTTCTATCAACCCTGCCAGCCCGGACGACACACTTGTGCCATCACCAAGGTGAGATTGTCTGGCTACTTCGTCGGTTGTAAGGCACGAGCAACTCTTAAGATGAAAGCAGGCGACAGAGCTGTCTAACAGGTTTACGTGCGCAATACGGAGGAAATATAGCTAACTTACTGTTTGACGATGGGAAGTGGTGGGCGTGGGCGTGACCCCGGGCCGAGACGGCTGGTGTCGTTACAGGCACATCGCTGTAGCCATTGCGGACATACAGCGGTCTATTGTATGCCATGTTGGCCGTGATAGTTCAGCTTGCCGTGTCCGTCTTGCCAGCGGGCTGATGGCTTGGAGTGCACGGCAGCAGAGGCCGAGCACACCGAGGAACGTATGCGTGCCTTGGTTGCCAACGAAGGGCTTGAGATGGCGATGGCGATGGTGATGGTGATGGTAATGGTGATGGGGTGGGCAGTCGAAGATGATGGAGGTAGTATGGAGGTGGAAAGTCGGAGGTCGTCAGAGTGGGAGGCAGGGAGTCTCGTGTGCGACAGCCTCGGAGAAGTGGGCAGGAGAACAGGCCGTCTTCGTCAAGCGCCGCAAGACAAGATGAAGGCAGTAGGCACTCTGGTGGACAGACCAATCTGCGTGATCTTGAGCAGGTGCGCCGCAGGTCACCAGGTCGAGCGACTGTCACCAGCACTGGCAATAGCAGCAGCAGCAGCGGTAGCAGCAGCGGTAGCGGTAGCGGTAGCAGTAGCAGTAGTAGCAGTGGCAGGAGCAGTAGCAGGTCCCTCCGGATCGAAAGGGGTCCGGCCGTCTTTTTAGCTCCCGTCGTCTCCGGCGCTCAGTCAAGCACCTCATGGTAAGGTACCTCCCCGTTCGCTCTCCCTTCATTCAATACTGCTCCTGGTACCTACCTAGGCACCTAGGAATGAAGGCATGACCCAAAACTCCGAAAATGCCATTCGTGTCTTCCTTTTCCATTTGACTTGCGCTTGGACCGACACCCTTGACCTCTTCCCACGAACTTGCATTCATGTCGTGATCGGTTATGGTCATGATGCCCTCAAACGACAAAACCGAATTCGGGGTTCCAACATCCCTGCTGGCCAATGGTGTGCTGCGTCGCCCGACCCTCGCTACTTCGACAGGCTAGCCTATAAACGCTGCGTGTCGGATTGCTTTGGGCGTATTTTCGCCGAGCTCCGCCACGCCTCCCCGCCGTGGCTCCCTACCTTGCAGCCTCTGGTCTGTACTGGAGCCCTGGTAAGAGTGCTATTGTTGGCAACGAAGAAGGTTCAGGGGCTTTCCCAGCATCCACATTCACCAACATCAAAGTCATAGATCGTCCAGGTCAAGGCGCATCCGTATGAGCACCTGCCGCCTGCCACCTGCCCCTGAAGTTCTTCTGTCAGGGCGGACACAATGCACAGTTGCCCGCACTAAAACACAGGCAAGATGAGCCGTTCCAGTCGCCTGTCAACGAGTCCTATCGTGGTGTACGGTACCTGTCCGCCAAGTTTGTCTAGTCCTCGGCAAGGCTGCCTTGCCTGAAGGATCTGCCGTTCGGAATCTGCCTGGCTTCACGTCACCTGCAGGATCACGCGAAACCATTGAACGCCTTCACGGCCACAGAGAGGACTAGCGGATATGCTCTCGTGCAAGGGTAGTGGCATCTGGGGGAGAGAGACATGGGGAGGATTGCAGTGCAGCGCATATGCTCGTGGTATTATGTAACCTGCATGAGGCCTACCATCACACTGGAAGCCACGTGACACAATCTTGACTTGATAATCAGTTCCATCCACCCCCGGGGGTGTCTCACCCAATGACCAACACGCACCTTCGTCAGCCTCTCAGCAGCCTAGGTACGGTCAGTGACGGGCAAGACAATTATCCCGACAACACCTCATCAAGCTCATTCACGACCATCACGGCCCACAACGAGACCTCCCAGCCCACAAGAAGCCTTAAATAAACTCCATCGCAACCGCACAGCCCATCAATACCATCCGAACACGGCTCATCATGGCCGAACGCGCCCTCCAACAGATCCTCTCCCAGCTCCAGACCCAAGGGTCCTCCCTCTCCTACGCCGATGCCTCCGCTCAACTGTCCAAAGCCAAGCTGGCGCTCCTCAAGCTCAACGCCCTGACACCGTCCCCCACGACCCCCGCCGCCCATCTCGCCCTGGCCCGCGACCTCTACGAGAAGGGCGCCCTGGCGTCCATCCGCGCCCGCAACCCCGACGCCTTCACCCGCTACGTTCACCAGCTACAGCCCTTCTACGACCTCGGACCGGACGCGCTGCGGCCCAACCCCGCCGAGCGCAACAAAATCACCGGCCTCTACATGCTCCTGCTCCTGACGCAGGGCCGCTACGCTGAGTTCCACTCGGAGCTCGAGAGCCTTGCCACCCGCGATGGCGGCGGTGACGCCGAGGCCGTCGAGGGCGACCGCTACCTCGGATACCCCATCCGCCTCGAGCGCTGGCTCATGGAGGGCAGCTACGACCGTGTCTGGAAGGCCATGAAGAGCCGGGAGGTGCCTTGCGAGGAGTACTCTGTCTTTTCCGAGGTGAGCCCACGGCTCCTCCCCTTACAAACTTGTCCCTTCCGCCTCCCCTGTTCTTTTGCTCTTGCGTTGCGATGGAGCGACCACGGACTAGGAAGACTGACACGCTGCAGATTCTCACCTCCCAGATCCGCTCCGAAATTGCGTCCAGCAGCGAGCGCGCCTACCCCAGCCTGCCCATCAGCTCCACAAAGTCCCTCCTCTTCCTCGACTCGGAGGGTGCCGTCATCGAGTTCGCCAAGCACCGTGGCTGGCTCATCCGCGACGGCAACATCTACTTCCCCGACACGGCCGAGGCGTCGGCCGAGGAGGGCGGCCAGCAGAAGGAGCTCAGCAAGATGGTCATCGAGAACACGTTGGGCTACGCACGAGAGCTGGAGACGATCGTGTAAAAGGGAAGCACGGCGTGGCGGCCCGACGGTTAGACGGTAGACGTGGTTGTGTGTACTATTAAGAAGACCGACAGAGGCAGGCAGGAATACAGGTTCCCGGGCGTCGCCAGGTTTTGCAAACTACCTTCATGATGCTTGCTTCCTGCTCTGCGATGCGTGAGCACCGAGCATACTTTGTCCAGACATTGGTCGCAAGAGACGCGTGGTCAAGCCTTGATCCGTCGATGCATGCCTGGTGCCCGCTCGAGTCGCATGGCTACCCCCATCATCCCTCACGTTACGCACGACCAGATTAACAATTCGACGTCGTTGCTGCTAGCTAATGACAAGACGCCCCGAAATCAGTCGACACAGCAGTCGTCTCTAAGTAACTTTTCCCAGGGGGCCGTCCACTCCGAGTCGTTGCTTCGTCCATCAATTCATCCCCGGCCGCCGTGACTCTTTTATGCGAAAAGCTTCAACCCGCTACCATGCTTGCCAATCTCACAGACCTCGCATACCCTGCACACGCTTCCCTTGTACTTGCTGTGGTACTTGGAGCCGTCAAACGCACACTCCTCGTACGCCGTGCCGCTGTAGATTGGCGTGTGGCTGGCAGCGCACACCTCGAACTCGGCGAACTGGTCAAACTCAAGTTCGATCGAGTCGTGGGGGTTACGCTCGCACTGAGCCTTGATCCTCTTGGCCTGTCATTCTGTCAGTTGAATAATCTCACGACCAGCTGGCAAAACAACACTACTTACGTTTTCAATGATCTTGGTGGCGCCACCGTTGGCGATGATCCTGTTCGCGAAGCTAAGTGCAGAACTGTAGTTCTTGTTCTTAACCGCCAGCTGCATGGCACTCAGCAGTGCGAGTTGCCTGTGAGGGACCTCAATCTTGGGGATAGTGAAGTACGCCGAAAGCTCAAGGCTGCGCTTGAGAAGCTCGGGTTTTTGCGACACGACATCGGGAGCCCCGAGCTCTCGGCGCCCGAGCTCGACCGCCATAGCGACGGCGTACTCGCTGGCCGAGGTAATGAGCTTCTTAGCCTCAGCCACCTCGCTTTCACTCGAGACAGCGTTGACGAGGATGGTGTGCAGGATACCCTTGAAAATCTTGAGGCCCTGCTCCAGCTTGTTCGTTTTCATCGAATCATAGCCCTTTTGCAAATCGTTTGTGGCAAGGAATTCTAGATCGCGTGGCACAATGGGAAGAACCTTCCTTGGGTCCGTCTCCTCGACGGTGCGACGCACATAGTTGACGAGAGGAGGCAAACCTGCCGACGCGGGCAGGTATGTTTTGGAGGCCTGGTATACTTCGAGGAACCGAGGCTTCAAGGGCGCAAAGTTGACGGCACCGACCTGTCGGTTCAGTAGTTGCATCGCAGTCTCGTAAGAACCACCGGCGACGTGGTCCACAGCTAATGGCGAGTTGCGAGCCCAGAGGTCGGCCTCGCTGCTGGCAGCACCGCCGGCGTCAGCGCTTTCAACGTTGACAAAGTCGCCCTCGACTTCGGGAACGACATCGTCGCCCATGTCCCAGCCGGCAGCGTCCTCATCGTCATCGACATCAATTAGGTTGCCGTTGCGTTTGGCAGTGCTGTCACCAGCTTCATCAAGACCAAATTCGTCAACTCCGGCTGTGGCCTCCTCCAGAGCACCGCCAGCCGGGTCGTTGAGCGCAGTTTCGAAGATCGACTGTGAGGTTGGCTTGGTGGGCCAGTTGGCCTTGTAGGTTGGCACGACCGGCTTTGGGGGCGACAAAGGCTCTCCGATTGAAGGCATGGTGAGCTGGTCTTCAGTAAGTCCAGTCGCCTCGAGGATGCTCTGGCACTCCTCCTCTAGGCCGTGGGATTTCGCAGTCATGAACGCCAGAGGGTCAACGTAGGGTTAGTGAAGGTTCTATTGTTGGAGGATTGGTGAACTTACAGAGATCAATTTCCTTGAACATCTGAATTCTGTCCTCAACCTCGCCGAGGTATAGGGCGTTCTGGAAACGGGAAGTGAAGTCGCCACGGTGCTCTGCAATCTTGGCCATACGAGCCAACTTGGAGTGGTCGCCGGTGGAAAGATACAAGAAGGACAGCTTGTCGAACTGCTTGAGCTTCTGGTAGCACATCTCGACAATCTGGTGGTTTCCATGGGAAAGAGCCTCGGTGCTCAAACGTGTCCAGAGCTTGGGTCGATCCAGTTCCTTGGCTACCTCGACAGCAACATCAAGGTTACCACACTCGATCGCGAGTTCGAATCGGGTGGCAGGGTCCTCGACAAACTGCAGGGCAATATCTGGATACCCCTTCTTTTGCAGGTACGAGATGATAGACTGTCCCACAAGACTGGAGTTCTTGATAATGTGAAGCATCTCCTCGTAGTTCCTCTTCACAAGAGCAAGCTTGAAGCGGTACTCAGTAGGGTCGATTTGCAGAACCTTAGGTTTGGCAGCACGATCCAAGCAGTACACGTTGCGACCCTTGACGCGGACGAGGTAGACAGTCTGGTCAAGTGTACGCACAATGCCATTGTCGCCATTCATCAAGGTGTACTTGATGTGTTCAGAGTAGAGTAGAGAAGAACGCCAGTATCATCCCAGGTGGCACTCTTGATCCTGATGGTCTCGTGAAGGGTGCTGACCTGCTCGAGCGACTTGGTGACAATGGTCACGTTGTGTTTGCTGAGAAGCGCAGCATAGAGGCCGTCATTAGACCACACAACGTACTTGACACCGGTGACGGCGAGCTCGGCAACACTCTTTTTCTGTTGAATGTCATAAAGGTGAACGTGTGTGGGGTTGATGATCAGGAGGTTGCCGGTGCCGCCAAAGTAAATGTCAGTCGTACCAACAGGGGGCTTGAAAGACCGGGTGACATTGTTCGCAAGGTCCTTGATGTCGATGGTCTGGGAGGCCACACTTAGAACCGCAAAGCGGTTTCTCGCGACAAAAATGGCAGAGTTTCCAGAGCCGCGCTTAGACTCGGTCGGTTCAATAGCACCAGAGCTATCCTTAGGGAGGCTGATAAGCTCGTAGGAGCCGCTGTCGGTTGTTGACGTAACTAGTACAGACCGCTCGGCAGGGTTATATGAGATCGTTCGTGGAGGCGACCAAGGGCTGCCCAGCTTTTTGAGAGACAACAGAGTCGGGCTTTCGATGCTCTTCTGGAAATCGAAAGACTTGACATGCTTCTCCTTGTTGATGTAGAAGAGGTTGTTCTGGTACACCGCTGAGGCCGGGCGCTCTCGTTCGAGCTTGAAGACCATCACGCCGTTATCGTGACCCGCCGCAAAGAGGTTGATCTCGGGATGGGCAGCAATAACCCAGAATCTGTCGTTCTCGCGCTTGAAGGTCTGCACTGCTGTCCTCTTGTTGAGGTCCCATACCCGAACGGTCTTATCCTCTCCCACGGAGAGAATCAGATCCTGGTGAGGGTGGAAAAGACAACCCGAGGCGTTCTGGAAATGGCCACGGCAAGTATCGACTTCCCAGGCTTTCGTTTCGCTCATGCGCCAGAGCTTGACAAGACGATCGTCGCCCGCGGACACAATGAGGGGCATTGTAGGGTGGAAGGCGACCCAGTTGACACCACGGTCGTGACCCTCGAGTACAAACTTGACAACAGCATCGGTGTTGCCAAACATGTCGGCCTGGTTCTGATTCGCTCGGGCGATTTGTTCTTCGATTGTCATGGAGGTCGGGGCGGAGTGCTTCTTACGCAGGCCGGGAAATGTCCCCAGACACGTACAGACTTGGTCGAGAGAG